ACAAACATAGCAATGATGAAAGAAATCACATGTCAGATTCTCTCGTTCTTTCCAGAATAACTTCAGAAGAGGATTTGGATAATCCAAAGCCATTAAAAGGTGTCTTTGATGCTCATTCTGATGGAGAAAGAGTGACTCATCTAGAAGGACTTGAAAAAGGTTTAGACAAATTGCAGCCTAGGAGGAACCCTGAAATTGGTGCTCATGCCCCACAGTTTGATCAAAGAAATGGGCAAGCCCCTGAAAAACCATCAGAAGATGGGTACAACTGGAGAAAGTATGGACAGAAGTTTGTTAGAGGAAATGAATTTATTCGGAGTTATTATAAATGCACTCACGTTAATTGCACCGCAAAAAGACAAGTGGAGAGATCTCATGGTGGTCATATTGCCGAAATTAAATATATTGGTAATCATGAACATCCTAAACCTCAAAATAGCCCTCAGGTATCTACCATCACCCAAGTTAGAAGACCCGACTTGCCTGCTTCTGAAGGTAACCCAAGTTTGCCGAGTTAATGTTTTGTTTTGTTTTTAATATTTTGGCTGATGTTGGTTGTGGAACATTATTTATATACTTGTTTGTTCTCTTCTGAATTCACACAATCTATTGCAGTTATGCCAGGAGGGAAGTGTGAGACTACTGAAACCAAACAGTCACCATCGGCACTCTTTGATGCAGGCACACCATATTCAGCTCTCCAGTCACATAATTTGCCAGATGAGGATGAATACAGTACTTGTCGAGAACCAAAAAAGCAGTACGCAAATTAATTTCTTAAACTTACATTCTGACTTGTAGTGTTGTAGATATTATCACTTTATTAGTTTATATACTGGTATGTTTGTGTTTATGAACTGTCTGTTCAACAGAAAGAAAACTTCTTCTAGCTGTGATGACAATAAGCCTCATGGGGAGCCAAAGCATGTTGTTCAGACGATGACTGATGGGGATATAGTAAGTGATGGCTACCGCTGGCGCAAGTATGGACAGAAATTTGTAAAGGGTAACCCATACCCAAGGTATATACTCCATTTATTTGGTTGCAGAATATTTTTTAGCAGTTTTGTGTTCTGAAATTTGGGTACGTTTTTGACTTCCACTTGGTTGATTCACTTGATTGCATAGCTATTGTCCCATTTTGCAGCTAAAACTCCCAATTGTAAGCAAATTTTGGAAAGTCAATTAATGGCTATACAAAAGAATAATCAGCCCGCTCTTTCCCATTTCTTTATTTAGTTTCCTGGATTTGATTACCTGCATTGTGATTGCTCAAGTTTTATCTTTTGTGAGTTATAATAATTCGCCTATTACTGATATCTGTCAACCCATCGGCTCTTTTCTGGTGTATTTTACATCAACGGTTTCTACTTTCATACTTTTATAGTCGCCTCGCTGTCTCATAGCTGGGCAGTCTCCTTCCAATGTAAATAGGCTGAGTATTATCTTTAGCAGAATTCTTTGTCTAACAATCCGCATGGGATTGGAAGCTAATAGGGTCCTAGCATCGGTTGATGGTTTTCATGACATTTGCATGTGTAAGTGTGCTTCCAGTATTTTATTCTTTTATCTTTTTCAAAGTAATTGCATGTGTTAGTGGAATTTCTAGTACAATAAGTTCTGCTTATATAATCTGAATGAAGGACACTCATGCTATCCAGTCTTCTCTTCTAATTTCTTATCCAGAGAGCTGGTTCCATGTTGCATTGTTGCCTATATTTTGCTATTTGATACCTCAACTTTGAGATGAATAATGTTGTGGCATGTTCTGTTTCTTGGTTACCTATTTGATGATACGTGTCTGACACATCTTTTTCCACTCGTATGAAAATGTTCGGCATTGAAGTTGTGAATGAAAGATGGCATTAGCCGTGTGACTAGATTTCCTATGGGTCTGATCGGATGGATACTGGGGGGTTTGGATGGCTAAGTTTATATCTTTAATAAGTAGAATGTTTTGAAAATGCATAAATGATGATTGCACTGTTGTCTGATTAGCTATCATCATCATCATCATCATCATCCTCATCATCATTGTCATTACAGGATTTACGGAGTATTATTTTCTTGTAAACTAATGACCTTCTCTGTATTATGTTATTTCTTCAAATTTATAAATATCAATTACATAACAAGATGTAGACTCAGCCCTTCAAAATACTTCATTTAAAGAGACCCTAAGGAAACATCTGTCAGTAAGTATTCTTTGAGATTATGCTTGTCTACATTGTTTCGTTCACCCTACCCAATGCAAAAAAACATTCAGATGTCTCTCACTCTCTAATGTCAAAACTCCCTCATTCTACAGAAGCTATTACAGATGCTCGAACAGTGGGTGTCCTGCGAAGAAACATGTTGAGAAGGCTTCCCATGATCCGAAAATGGTCATGACGACATACGAAGGGAAGCATGTCCATGATATGCCACCATGTAGGACTACTACCCTACAAAAGTCAGGTGAGTGTGTCAATGCCACCAATACAAGAATGGCATCAAGTGGAGATCCAAGACCATCCGAAACTGGTGAAAACAAATACGATGGTAGCCTTGACATGGTTGTTTATGTTGGGGCCACCTGAGTATGCAATGGATGAATGGAAGCAAGTCAAGCAACTAATTCACTTTGGTATAGATTATTTACTCACTGTTCTTCTCGAGTTGTTCTGTGGAGGAGCTCATATTTTTTAAACAAATTAATATGAGTAGTGAAACTGGTAAGGAAGAATGGTTGAGGGAAGAGTTCAGGGAAAAAAATATTCCAATAATACCCTTAATGAATGAAAGAGTATTTAATCCATCAAGAGCATAGGAGTAACAATTTCATTTGGAATCCATGAACCATCCCCTAAACCATTCTCTCCCCATATATCATTATTCAATTAATATTACTGATGACAACAAACAGTGTCATATTGTGTAATGAGTATGGTCCGTATGGATATATGTAGAGAATGTTCTAGGAAAGAGTTCAATGAAAGAGTATAAAATTGTCCCAATCTCTTGATGAATTAAGTTGGGCTTCCATTCATCAAGAATATGATTAGAAGAAATTCATCATATTCTTGACCATTGTGTGAACCAGCAAACCATTCTCTGCCCTTTAAACTACTCTTGTCCAATATGTTGACATTATGACATAATATACCTGATATGAGGGATGCTCTGGCATAGAATCTAGCTAAGTTTTCTTGACCAGAAATGTAATTATTGTTATTCTCAATGAACATGTTGGACGTTTGTTATACTGTCCGAACAAAATATATTTTAATATAAATGTCTGTTTTGAGTCCCCAAGATATGTTTATGATAATATCCTCCACGAATGTTTGAATAACTTTTTATAGTGGCAATAATCAAAGCTGAAATTTTAAGTGTAATTGGAAATCTGTAATCTGTAGTGGCAATAACTTTTTTGTAGAATGTTAAGATTTCTATTTTCCATTGGAAACAAATAAAATGTTCATTCTTTTCTTTTATCAAATATTCAGGTGAAAGCTCATAATGATTTTGATGCTGACCCCCCCCCCCCCCCCCCCCCCCCCGACATTTTGACACATGTTGGAATAAGATTACGGATGTTTTTACTTGAATTGTTTCCAAGACGAGTATGTGGCGGTGGTTATAAGGGGTGGTCCGGGCCGATCTGGGCTTAACGGTAATTTTTTTTTAAATTTTTTTAATTAAATGGGTGGTACCGACCTGGGTCCGGTACTGTTTGGGTGTGGACCGGAACCAGTCCCGAAGCATAGCTGGCATTGGGCTCTAGTTTTCCAGTACCACTACGGCCAGGTCTTGGTCCGACCTGAGTCCATCCATAGTTTGAGTTCATCGTTAAAAAGATCGTATCATCCTTGTCCGACCCGAGTCCATCCATAGTTTGAGTTCATCGTTAAAAAGATCGTATCATATTGAGTTTTGATAATAATAAAAATATACTATGTTTTACAAGACTAAATCAAATTTTAACAAATTAAAAAAAATCAGATTATTTAAATAAATTAGATCATATCAAATTAATATCATTAAAAACATAGCTCTTGGAGGGCTGGAGCCTGGACTCCCTGGAGGCTGCTATGCATACTTGTTTCGATCTTTCATAATAAAAGTAGCTTTTTTTAATAGCCCTAGGAAGTAAGACCATGTCTATGTTCTCCAGAAACGGCTCTTTGAATATACTTATATTTCTAAAAAATTTAAACGTGCCGTTAGTTTAAAGTACAATACTTTCATTGTAAGTATATAATAATAAGTTGCAAAGATGTCCCAACAATCAAAAGCGATACTATGTTTCATAGTGGAAATATTTTGTGTACATTCAACATATCATACATGATACATTTATTTGATGATTACAACTTTTTCCTATTTTTCATCATCCATAAGTACATTTGATGTTCGAAAGTACATAAATAATACTCCCTCCGTCCCTCAATTAAGTTCCCGGTTTGACTTCACACGTATTAAGAAAATAAATTTGACTTTAATGTGGAGTACAATGTTTTGAACTGTTCAAAACACTGTTTGACACTGTTTGACACTATTTTACATTGTTTGACACTGTTTTGATATAGATAATTTGTCAAATAAGGAAAGTAATGAAGTGTGAACTTAATTTAGGGACTGCCCAAAAAGGAAAGTGGTAACTTAATTGAGGGACGGAAGGAGTATATGACTAGCTCTTCAATTCTTCATAAATGAAAGTAATGCAACACCAAATATACGAGTCACTTCTTGTACTAAAAGGCACAATGAAAGGAGTCTAAAATGTACAATTATAAATTTATAATCCTCATTTTAAAAAGAACAATCACAATCAATGCCGCATACTATGTACATCGCTTTTTACTTTGACGTGTGTATAAATCTTGATATGATACTTTTAGATGAGTATCTAAGATTATTTTTTAGTCATATCCATATTTATGTGTTGGTTTTATTGTTGTACACTTGTACTCTTATAAGAGACCCTTTTATTTATGCTCTTTACACTATTGTTGAGCGTAGGGGGCTTTTTGAGCATCTTGCACATGTTGGCAGTCTTATCACCGATCCTTGGATGGTGATTCGAGATTTTAATTGTGTGGCCTCTCCCACGGAAAGGGTGAGTTCTGCCCCCCCCCCCCCCCCCCCCCCCCCCCAATTCTTATTTCATGAAGGATCTTATTGATTTTAAAGCTTATGCCGGCGTTTGTGATGTGCCCTCTACCTGGGAGTTTTTTACGTGGAACAGAGGAACGCTATGGGCTAAGCTTGACATGGTCCTTTTAAATTCGGTTTGGGCTCAAAGGAATGTTAATTGCAAGGCTCACTTCTGTGAGATGGGTGTGGAATTTGATCATACGGCTGCCGTTGTGACCATGCTCCAAAACTCTCCAAACCAAGCTAAGCCTTTTAAAATTTTTAATATGTGGCTTAAACACCACAATTTTTCTATCATTTTGGCACAGGTTTGGAATCAACGTATTGGGGGCAAGGTACAATTTTCTTTGTGTAGGAAGTTAAATCTCCTTAAAGGACCACTCAGAGAGCTTAACAAGAAAGATTTTGGCCACATTTCTTGAGAGGCGAAGGAAGCTAAGGAGGAGTATAAAAGACTCCATAAATTGTCTTTAACTTCCCCTTTGGATGAGGAGGTTACTAATGATCTTATGCTTGCTAAGAAGAGTTCCATTTTCTTGAAAGAAGCCGAAACTAGCTTCTATCAACAAAAATCAAAGACCACTCATATTTTGGAAGCGGATAAGAGCACCAAGTATTTTCACGCCATCGTCAAAAGGAATACGGCCCGTAATTCTATATCTTCTATTACTTTGACGGATGGTAGTCTCACTACTTCTTTGGAACAAGTGGGCACTGAATTTGTGAGATTTTTCACCGCTTTATTTGGCACTCACGTGGACTCCATGGAGATTGATCCCTCGGTCTTGGCAAGTGGGACCTTGATGGATCAAACTGTTCGTGATAAACTTATTGATCCCATTACGGATTTAGATATTAAATATGCTCTTCGGCTTTCTTTAAAGCTAATTGGCAACTGGCCGGTGACGATGTCACGAGGGCTGTTATGGAATTCTTCTCTTCCGAGAAATTGCTCAAGCAAGTGAATCACATGATTATTGCTCTGATCCTCAAGACTAATCATGCGCCTAAAGTCTCAGATTATAGGCCCATCTCTTGCACAAATGTGGTCTATAAAATCATTACTAAGATTTTGGCTAACCGTATTGCACCGTGCCTTCCAGCTTTTGTAGATCCGGCCCAGGGGGCCTTTGTACATGGCCGACTTATGTTCGATAAAAATTTTCTTGCTCAAGATCTGGTGCGTGGCTACACAAGAAAGCGCATCTCTCCTCGATCGATGATTAAAGTGGATTTGAGGAAAGCTTATGATACCATATCCTGGACCTTCTTAGAGAATATTCTTATTGGCCTGGGCTTCCACCCACGGTTTATTGGCCGGATTATGGAGTGCGTTACTAATGCGTCTTTCTCTATATCTCTTAATGGCTCGCTATTTGGTTGGTTTAAAAGCAAAAGGGGTATCCGACAAGGGGATCTGATGTCCCCCCTCTTATTTGTCCTTTGTCTTGAGTACTTTTCCCGATTGGTGAAGATGAAAACGAAGGTATCAAAGTTTAATTACCACCCCCTTTGTTCCTCTCTTTCTATTACTCATTTGGCATTTGCCGACGATCTCATGCTTTTCTCAAGGGGTGATGTTCATTCTATTAATATTTTGATGAAAGCCCTTGAAGAATTTGGAGATACTTCTGGTCTCAAAATTAATCATGGAAAATCCAACATTTTTATTGGCGGTGTTGCGGACTATGATATTGCTAATATACTTTACTTGGTTGATTTTGGTCGTGGGACTTTCCCCGTCAAATACTTGGGTATACCGCTTGCCTCTCTTTGGGTTTCTGTAGCTCAATACTCTCCACTGTTGGATACTATTACAGAATTCTTGAACGCTTGGAATGCAAAGTGTATATCTTATGCCGGAAAGCTCGAACTCATTCGATCGGTTGTACAAGGTGTACAATCTTTTTGGCTTCAGGTTTTCCCAATTCCCCAAGCTATCTTGGACAGGATCGTGTCTATTTGTAGGATTTTTCTTTGGGGAGGTAAATATGCAAAAGTGTCATGGGATGACATTTGCCTCCCAAAGAATGAGGGTGGTCTTGGAATTCATTGTGCTAAAGTCTGGAATGAGGCTCTTCTTGCGCGTACTTTTTGGAATATTCACAAAAATGAAGACACTCTTTGGTCCGATGGGTTAATAGCGTTTATCTTAAAGGAAAAAGTGTGTGAGATTTTTCTCCACACAATCGGGACTCCCAGCTTATGAAGAAGCTTTGCTTTATTCACAATAGGATTTGCCAGAAATTTCACAACACAAACGAGGTTGTTATGGCCTTGAACAATATGTGTAACAACGGCAATCTCACCTCGGCGAAGGTTTATGATTTATTGCGCACTAAAGGCACGGCCAGACCTTGGATGCCGTTTATTTGGAAGGGGTACATTCCCCCTAAATTTTCTTTTACCGTCTGGCTTGCTTTCCGGAACCGGTTACCCACACAAGATAATCTTTCCTATCTTAATATGGTTAACCGGTGTGACCTTTGTAAGGGTGGTTGTCCTTTTGTGTGCGGGATCTGGACGAAGATAAGGGACTGGATTGGAATTACAAAACATATGACCACCTTGGAGAAAGCAATCAAGTGGATTAGGAGAGACCATGAAGGTGCACTCATCAAATCAAAAACTGTTCGCTTGACTTTCTGTGCGACGATTTATTGGGTTTGGCATACTAGGAATGTTTGTCGCTTCGATGATATCATGAAGACTGAAGATGATGTTGTAGCAAAGATCAAGCACGTGGTTTACAAGATTCTCTACAACATCTATCCTTATGAATTGATCACTTTTTTATTTCTTTAGCCACAGCTAGTGTATGTTTCGTTGAACTTTTGGTGTGTGCATCTTGCAACATCCTCTGATGGCTTGTTTTGCCTTGGTTGTTTTTGGACCGACCCGTTATTGGGTGTATGTCTTGCTTGATTAAATGGTGACCAACCTTGTTGGTAGGTTGCGTTTTAGTTTTGGACGCATGTGTATATGTTATTTTTTGGATGATATATATATTTACAGGTTCATCCAAAAAAAGAGACCCTTTTATTAGGGCCACCCTCTTCAGAAAAACGCACTTTTGTTGGTCCTATTAGGAAGTTAGACAATTTTGTGTTACATGTCCATTTTGTACAAGTATATGTGCCATGTGAATCGCGAACCTCACACTAAAGCCAATCTGAGTTCTGTATAATATCTTGTGCATTATTAGAGTGTCTAAAAGATATCCCAAGTTTCATCAGTATGTGGAATAAGAAAGTACAAACTACTACTTTCATCCTAATTTGATTTGTAAAATCTCCTATTTTGATTATTAATTTTTCACTTTTTAATTCAGGTATAAAAAGAGAGTTTTTTTCCTGAATAGTGTTGAATAAAAATTAATTACATATTTAGTGTTGAGTTAGAAGTAGGGGTTTTTACTTGGATATTACTAATTTTGAATCAATTACCCAAAAAGTGACCACTTTTAAAAAGGGGCAAAAAGTGATCAAGAAGGTCATATATGTGCAATTAGAAAACATGATGTAACTGCAAAAATTTTATGTCACTGTGTCTTCGTTTTTTTGTAACTACAACCACCACCCATGTCATTACAACCACCGCCTGTGTCACTGTAGCCACCGCCCGTGTCACTACAACCACCGTCCGTGTCACTGTAGCCACCGTCTGTGTCACTGTAGCCACCGCTCGTGTCACTACAACCACCGCTCTTGTCACTGTAGCCACTATTGCCTCTCACCGGTGACCGCAGCCTGTCAGAGACTGCCTCCGGCCGAAGATCGTCGCCGCCATAGTGACGCCGCCATAGTGACGCCGCCGCAATGACGTCTTTGCAGTTACAATTCCGTAGTGACACACAATTGCAACGGCCAGTGTATTCCGGCAACCACCACCCTCCCATTCCCACTGCGTCTCCCCCCCCCCCCCCCCCCCACCGCCTACTTCCACCGCCCCTCCCCTTCCCAACGCCCAAGCATGGGAAAACCCTTACGCATCCCCAGCCCCCTCCAGCCATACCTCCCTGACCTGCCCCAGACCACCTCCCAACCTTCAACTCCAACCAAACGGCCTAGATTCAATCCTCCCCAATCCCTGCTCCGACCAACCCAACTCAAGCCAGCCAATCCCTGCTCCGACCAATTCAACCCAACTCTACAGCCCCCTGATCAACCCAGCCACGACTGAACCAACATTTCCACCGCTTAAAAGCTTCAACCTCTGACGCAAATCCGTCGCACCAAGACTGCCACTGTAGCCAAACTCTAGGCTAAAGGAATACAGCTCAGGGGCTCAATGATTTTGGGCGCACCAAACCGCAAATCCGTCACACCAAGCCGCGACCACTGTAGCCAAACAGAAATTGGCGCAAGAGAGGGAGGGAGGGTGGCGACGAAGAGCGCGGACAGAGAAGCGAAAGCGGATGGCGGCCGCCAGAATCGTCGGTTTCTGGCTATAAGGTCGATGATGGAGGGCGATGAAGTAGACCGTGAGGCTGCGATCAATGTTCCCATAGATTGGATGCGGAAGAAACATAGATGTAGATGCGAAAGAAGCGTACATATACGGTCAGTTTTCTATAAATTTTAAAAATGATCATATTTGTGTCTATTAAAACCTCATAGGTAATAACCTTGCCATTCTTTCTTAGAAGTATATACCAAAATACTGTCGGAGCCAAACCATAGTTTACAAGAATCGCCATTCCACTTGGCGACTCACGTTTAAGAACTAGCGGAAGCAACCCGGCCTAGGATATAAAAAAACACTTTTTTCCTTTAAAATGTTATAACTTTTTCATTTTTGTTCCTTTTTTTATAAAACATATATCAAAATTCATAATTTCTTATGATCTTTCATATGACACCAATATTGCATATGTAAAATTTTTAAAAAAATTAAGCTTATCTAACAACCTCATAGGAAAAACACTTGAACAAAACACTCTCTCCGTATTTAAGGGGAAATAGTAATGATAATTGAATAGTGTAGAAAAATTAGGAGAGAAAATGAAAAAGTAGGAAAAATAAGATAAAAATAAGAAATGTAAGAGTAGTTGAGTATTTTTATATATAGGAAATACTTACCAAAAGAGAAAGTGTAGTAAACTTTGGAATACATCCCAAAATATAAAGAGCCTGTTTGATAACAAGAAAATCGGCTGATTTGATTGATTCTGCTGAAATTTATGAAGTTCTGGCAGAAGTGGCTGCATTGGCTGATTCTGCTGATTTAAAAAACTTATTTTTAAAATATATTTTATTACTAAAATAAAGAAAAAATATATGTAAAATAGCTAAAATAGTTATCTACAGTAACTTCAGCCATTACAGCCAGAAAATTATCTCTGGCCTTAATTTATCTTATTATCACACAATTCAGCGCGCAAAAACAAAAAGTGACATGTTTGGTGATACAATTGGCTGATAAGCCGAAAAACTGTGTTATCAAACAGCCTCAAAATGTAACAAACTTTTAAATACAGAGGGAGTAGAAACAATAAATAATGGAGAAAATTATAACTAATACTACTATTAATGTGTTCTTCTAGAATATGATTGCTTATGTTTTTTTATTAGAATGATATAATCCATCTAATAATATTTATTCCTATTTTTTAATAATGATTTTGAACAAAAATATAGAGATATCATTAGAAATCAAAATGTGTTGAATACTCTAATAGGGAGATATTATTAACATCAAAATTTATGCAAGTTGTATGATGATAGGAAAAAATTGATATAACTTGTTGAGGTTTAGTCCCGTAGATCCGAAAGCCCAACCTACTTGCTGACTACCCGTCCGGGTAGTGCGTTCGACGTGCGGGACCCCTTTGTGGGTGTTTGGATGCCAGTACTTTGTTTGATTGTCTCAAGTGAACAAATCTACCCGAATGCTGTTCAGGTACTCCCCCGTTCGGGATGTCTTGGACCTTTCTGATTGCGTTGGACTTCATGTTTTCCCTGAGCCTTCTTTATGCTTTGGGCCGGGCGTATTGGGCTTGGACCCAATACCTCAACACGGTTAAATAGATAGTCATGACTAAGAAAGAATGAGTATTAATCAATACATGCATAGATGAATGCTGATAAAATCCATTAGTAATCATATCCTAGGAAAACATATTTGTTTGGTAATATTTGTGGTCATTTTCTCAATTATTTAATGCGTCTCTTTTAATTATGTTTTTTTTTAATTACCAAGATAAATGTTTTAAACAAAAATGTGACTAATTAAATAGGTGTACAGTTTTATAGCGACTTCAATATAAAATTTAAACATAATTATAGTTAACAAATGTTAATAAGTGAATTATCACGCATAATCCTTATTTTGGTCACATATTAGAAATTATTTATTTAATGTTAAATAATTCGTATCAAGGTCAGAAAATGTGGTTGTTTTATTTAGCGAATTGGAATGTTGTTTAATAGATCTTTTTTTTTAAATTTACATATACAATATTGGTGTCAAATGAAAGATCATAAAAATTTATGACTTCTGATTTATTTTTATAAAAAAATAGAGCAAAAATGAAAAAGTTATAACACTTTAAAGAAGAAAAAATGTTTTTTATATCCTAGGCCCCACTAACTGTTCTCTCTGCCACAGCTTGGTTGCTCCTGCTATTCTTTAAAGGGAAAAATACGTATATATATGAGTAAAACTCATGCCAATTCCCAAAATATGATCATGGATGATTGTTTCTCAATATATTACTAGATATGATCATGGATGTATGGGGCATGGTATTTGGCATCTTTTTAGGAAAATAAAGATGCAAGTCATTTTGGGAAACACAGAATGTTTTGGTCACATAAGTGTATATTTTTAACTCAACATTAAATGTGTAAATAATTTTTTATTCAACATTATTTAGGAAAAAACTCATAAAAAGATGAACAAGTGACAAACTCAAATTAGTTTTATCCTTTTCCCGTAAATACCTCTAGTTTTGGAAATAGGGCAAAAGATAAAGAAGTGTTTGGAAAATGGCATTTCAGTAAAAAAAAAGATGGTTTGACAGCTAAATTGTTATAGTTAAACAGCTAAATTACCAAACATTTTCTAGAACCCGTAAACTTACTCCGCTAATCAAACCCACTGAAATCCCGTATAAACAACCAACTAACATTATTCACTATCCACTAATCGTTAACCGCTAAATGTCAAACACGTCCAAAGTCAAACTTTACTTATAATTTATAAACTTGCTTATTTCTTGTGCCGGTCAACTTTTGCAAATCATATTGGGATGATGGGAGTACATGATTGATCTTTGTGGAATGGCAGGAGAGATAATAAGGAGCACAAGCTACTAACTTTGAAGGAACACTTGTAAAACTTATGGGACAAAATAAAAGAAAGTTGGCAATAGTAAAATGGTACAAAGCTTTACTTGGCAGCTAATATTTTTTGAATTTAAACAAACATATATAGATATTACGGTTGATGATGTATGTACACAAACTGTTGTTCTATGTGAAATGTCATGAGGATTATTAGGCGGCAAAAAAAACATGCTACTGCAAACTATAGATTTGTGTATTTGAGATTTACACAAGGGAGAAAATTAGAAAAATCACAAATTAGTTACTTTAATGGTAAAGTGACTGTTTTTGGGACAATCATAAAATAAAACTTGGTAAAATCCAACAAGACAAAGGGAGCATTACAAGTAATAAAGTTATAGTCAAATTCATATGCAAATAACTTATGGTCTAATGATATAATATTACAAAGTGAAGGTCAGAGATTGAACCATTTCCAATCAAAGTTGACACTATTATTGAAAAGATACCATAAATGAGATAGTGTTTGCACAATAATAATAATTATTCTTCATACACACAAACAAATCACACATATATTCACACACAAACAAATCACACATATATTGTTATTATAGAGTTCACACACATAAAAAATGTACCAATAGATGGGAAGTGATGGTTGGGCGAAACACAACTATGTTCATTGATGAGAATCATGAGATATCAATAGGATTGGACAAATTGCATGAGGTGCTACCTACCATATATGCATACTTTTTACTTTAAAAAAAGGTTTAAACTATATTTGTACTCGGAGGTGACATCTAGAAAAGATCAAGATTAATAGTGGGAAGAAGTAAGGGAAATTTTCGGGAACAATCATAATAAGGAAATAATATCAGTTTTTTTTACTTTTCAAAGTTTTTTCAAATATAGCCTAACTAAATTCTTCCTTTCACAAATAGACCAGCTATTGCTCCACTTAAGAGATACGGCTACTACTCCTCTTAAGAGATATGGCTACTGCTCCTCTTAAGAGATTTACGTACAACTCTTTTTCTCTAAGATCTTTGGTAAGCAATAATTACTCAATTCTTTTTTGTAACTAGAAAAAATGCAATGAAATGCAAGAAGTTCAAAACAATTAGAAAAGAAATAAAAATCTAAAGAAAATAAAAAAATACTCAAAGAAAGAACAAAAGCTTAAGATAAATTTCGAAGTTTAAGATTCAAATTGAATTTTAAAAATAAAAAAGGCATATAAATATTAGAAATAAATAACAAAATTTAAAAAATGTATAGAGTTACAAATAAAAAACTTTAAAATTAAAATGAAAACGTTTGAAATAGTTTAACATGTGGGAAAATTGTAAAAAGATACTCCCTCGGTCCCCTAAAACTTGCCAAGTTTGACCGGCACGAGATTAATAAGGTAAAAACTCTCTGATTGAGGTTTGTGCAGAGAAGATAAAATTAACTGGAATCACAAATTCTTTACTTAAAATAGAAAGCGTAACTAAAAAAAATAACAAAGCTTTAAGGGGCAAAGTTAGTAGACCCTTAAAGTGGTCTATTCAAATCTTCAGAAGCTTGGATGATGGAGAGACACTGTTCTTCCATCTCTAGTTGGGATTCGGCAAAGGAAAGAACTCCAATCTAAATTCAATCGGCCTGATTTAAGGCTCACTTCAAAGCTATAACCTATTTTTGAAATAAAAAAGTTTACGATGAAAAGTTAAAAGTTTAAAATTGAAAGAAATATTACGGGGTGATATAAATGAAATACAGTGGAGAAAAAGAGTCCAACCGGGTAATTCCCACAAGAAGTAAACAAAAAGACTACAATTCTCTCACCAGAATCGCCAATACATTCAAGAATTTCCATGTTGGCCTACTTTAAAACAACCTCTCTGTATCTTGTGACAAGTCCACAAGTTACAAAGCAGCTCTAGTATTCAAGAACTATTCAATCCCCGAGTGGAAAACTTTCAAAGCTAACAACACACTTTGTGTTGGTGAAGAGTATCTGTCCTTGACAAAAGAAAACAAGGGAGAAAAAGCACAGAAACAGATTTACACCACAAGTGCAATCAGTATAAAAAATAAAGTATAAACGAACTCTAAAATTTGTTTTTGAATTTTACTATATACTATATAGTAAAGTTGTGCTTATAAGTACTATATAAATAAATTACAATAAAATATTGTGCTTATTCTACCTAATGTATGTTTGCAATTTTTTTCAAAATTTTGTTTGTTCACATTAGCAACTTTGAACAAGAGCGGGTCCGTCCATGATGAAATGGTATTTATTTTCCTAAATGTCAGATCCATATCGGTCTGTGATGCATGTAAGCACCTTAGTGATTCCGTTCCGTGCCTAACTACGTCGGTCTCCTAGACATGCAGCTTGCCAACCTAAGTAGCACCGGTACGGAAACGGGGACGGGAAAATCTTAATCTCAAGAATTAAGGGTACATGTACGAAAACGAAACGTCGCATTAAAAACTGAAGAATTAGTAATAAAACTAGATGACTATTAAAATAGGTCATGTTTACATGCATTAATTAGGAAATAAATAAACCAAACATCAACATTGTTTGTCATCCATTGTATGAATAATTAATAAAAAGGACACAACTAAATAATTCATTCGGTAATAAACACACTCTCCAGTTCAGGCTCATCTAATGACAAATTAGCAAATTCTAGATATCCCATTCCTTCAAGATTGCCAAATTCATCTCCTCCAACGTCCCACATTTTAGTCTTCTCATCTGTATATTGGTCAGAACTCCTTGACAAGAGGCGAAGGTTGTTGTGCACAAACACCAAATCCTATGCACGTTTAGGAGTTAATTTATTCCTTCTAAGTGAATGAATAAATGAGTACGTGCTCCAATTACGTTCACAAAAAGATGAAGGAGTAGGTTGACCAAGCACTCTAAAAGCAAGTGATTGAAGGATTGGTGTTTGAGCACCAAAGTTTGACCACCAATTTTTTGGATCCATGTTTCCTATCTTTGAAAGAGATGTAATATCTGCAAACGCTCCTATCTTAAGTGAAAAGGAAGCAAATTCATCCAAAACCTTATCATAATCTTCAGCGTTTGGATAGAGCCTTCGAAAACACTTCATCCTCTCTTGAGAGATTTCACCATCTCTATGAGGAGGGGCTCAGGCGGGATCCTCATCAAGCCAAACTTCACTATAAAATCTAATAACATAAAAATACATTTTAAAGTATAAAAATTAAATATCAGGATAAATCATGCACGGCCATAGATTGTAAAATGGAAGAGACCGAAGCAAAAATGGAAACTGAACGTAGATGCAAGATACTTATCTTCCAAAGCTTCAAGAGGAGCGATACTTCGAGATAGGAGCGGAGTGATGACTCAGGCAATAAGCTTTCCTCTGCAAGCTAGCTCGGCGTCGGAGGGTGAGTTGAAAGCTATCTTTCATGCAGTGAAGTGGGCGACAGAGGAAGGATATGAGGATATCCTTGTGGAGTCGGATTCTTCTCTCGCTCTTGAGTACATCAAAGGAAAACCTTCAAGAAGCTGGAGAGGCTTGATATTGGAAACTGCAGATCTATAGGAAAGGCGTTTTGTTCGGGCATACCCTGAGGGAAGGGAACTGGTTTGCCCACCATCTGGCCCAAATGATACCTTCAGCACATATGATAGCCCAAAGCAACTGCCCATTTGTGCTAAACAGGCTTATTGGTTAGACTTTTTTGATATTCTTTCTCTTCATTTTTAATCTTGTACATTTGGGTCAGGTCTAGCCCCCCAAATGTTGGTTTATTTTTTCTGTCTCAATTTTCAGTATGTGTAACTTTGAGAGGCTTTGGTCTAGTCCTCCTCTCATGTAACCACTTTATCATCTAATAAAACTCTGGTAAATGACACCCGGCATTTACCCCACTGATTTTGGTGGTTTGCCTTCCGAGTAAAAAAAAGTATAAATATTAAATAAAATAATTGAAATAAATAATTAGAAAAATTTATGTAATACCTTGTATTTAATGAAAGAGCTAAATGAATGAAATGGTGTTGAACTATTTCCCCATCATGCCACAAGAATATCATATACTATGTTGAAGAACGCACTATATGAATCAAGAGATTTTTCTTCATGCTTGTAGATTTGGATTTTGACTTTTTCAATCATTGAATCCCACATCTCATACACAAAATGAAGACATGACTTATCTGTATCACATGCTCGAATCATACTATAAATAGGATCTGAGAAAGCAAGAATGTAGTTTGATTGATCCCACCAAGGCACCAATACTCACTCAAAACTTTGTCTCTCACAAACCTTGATTTACCGTGATCATCCTCACGATAAGAAGCCCACTCATCACTCAACACCATAGCTTCGAGAGCACGTCTAATAAGCTTAAATCTCTTAAGCATTACAATAATAGAAGCAAATCGGGTGTCCGCAACAGAAAGTAATTTGAGGGACACGAATTTGTTAAAGATGGACAACCTCATCGTATGATTCATGATGGAATTCTTTATGTGAACAACATCACCATGAATTTCGGTGATCCAATGACATTCATCATATACTTATATGTTATTGTCCACATTTTTTGCAGCACAAATATTATTTAAAGCAAGATTTAAGGTATGCACAACACATGGTATCCAATAAATGTGTGGATACATACTTTCAATGATTTCTCCCGCTCCCTTGCAATTTGAAGCATTGTCGGTGATAACCTGAACCACATTTAGATGGCATATCTCATCAATAACTTCTTTCATTAAATTAGCAATAAATTCTTACGATTTCACTTCACCCATGCAATTAACAGCTTTAAGAAACATAGGACCGCTTCTGAAAGTTGCCATGAAGTTAATTATAGGTCTCCTCTAAGGATCACTCCAACCACCGCTCACAATTGTCACGCCTCTTTCCCGCCAAGTAACTTTGAGTGATTGTAATAACCTCTCAACATTAGCCTTGTCTTGTTGTAACAAAGTGGTCCTCAATTTATTATAACCGGGTGGCACATAACCTGACAAATTGTGATATGCAACAAAAGAAAAAGCTCTCACATAATATGGATTTCAAGCAAGATTAAATGGCAACCCTCCTGTGAAAAACATTCTAGCAATTTCTTCATCTAGTTTGGCTCTACCATCTACATCAAAAGCTTTCTCCAAAGGGCCCATGCTAGATTTTCTTTTATTAGAAAAAACAAATGTTACTCGTCTAATCCATTTGTGTTCCTCCGGAAGGTAAATGAATATCTTTAGGGGCAGCATTTTTTTTTATTCTCAGCTTCCTCTTCCAATTTTTTCATCTCACGTAAATCATTGGATTGAACCTTTTTACATAAGGCAATTCCTTGTTTTGAAATTTGAAGCAAGTGTGCCCTTACTCTCGAATAAGATCTAGGTTTAACTTCATTACAAAAGTTACACTGAAACCTCCAAGTACCCCCCGTATCAGCACTTTTACCTAGTTTAGTAACATATTTCCATAAAGGTGCATTATCAACACCCGATGAAGAATTTGTGCTCCCAGTTACACTCCCGCTACCACTAGGTCCACTAGAAGAACCAGATACATCCATAGAGCTTATCTAAAAATGAAGATAAAATAATTTTTTTTTACAATTACATTTTGTTGGTAAAGTAATGGATTGAAAAAAGAAAAATAAAAATCACTTTATTCACTAAACTTTATACTTTTTAAGAAATTTATTTATTTAAATAAACTATTTTATTGACGGAACAAAACAAAAGCAAAAAAGAAAAGAAAAGTAACTCATATATACCGGCTCAGCTGATTACCTGAAGGGTGAAGGGCGGCTGCAATCGGCGAAGGCGGAAGGACGAAGGGCGAAGCTGGCTGGAGCTGCAATCGACGGAACTGGATCTTTCCGGATCTGGAGCTGGCAGGTTCCCTTGCGGACGATTAACCTGGTTGGGCCGCTGTGTTATTTTTTTATAAAAATTTTGGCCCGGGAACGTTTCTATGGGCTGATGTGGCGTTTCCTCCGGCGTTTCCGGATCTACACCTGACCCAAAAATGGGCCGAGACGCGGGTTGACGTTTCAACGTGTTTCCGGACGTTTCCCGTTTTCGGAACGTTTCGGAAGCGGAAACCTGCACCTATTTGGCATTTCCGTGCATCCTAGCTGCCAACTACGAGTGAATGTGGCTATTCTTACCTAAGAAGATGAGTAGATGACTGCCAGACTCCAAATTAGGGAGCCTATCTGTTGATCCCTGATAGATACAGGAACGGGTCAGCCTAAAAAAGCCAAACCACCCAGTCTTAATTATTGGAAAAGCCCGCTGCCATCCTACTACAAAATCAACTTCACCTGCCGTTACCTTAATCACAGCCTCATTCGTGCTGCTGCACTCAAAAGGAATGACAAAGGAAACTATTACAGTCACGCGACTCATCCAGCAACCCACAACAACAGAACTGCTGCCACATATGACGCCATTGTATATTGCCTCCCTATAATCAAGAATCAAGAAAATTAATCTAACCAATATTGTACTTGAACTGGACAAAAGGGAGGTATATGAAGGCATTACGGGGACCATTATGCAACATTGGCAACACTGGCTGCGAATTGATCTCCCACTTGCACCCGAAACTCAACAGAGTCTCAGAGTTTTTAGCTTATTGAAATACTTCCATTAAAACCAAGAATGATCATTTCAACCATTTTGTTGGTATTCTTAAATTTGATACTATTAGTTTCCCTTATGTTGTTTAATTTTGAGTAGGCTGGCCCTCCTACTCTTTGTAACCCTTTATTTTCTAATTGGTGAGGTGTACCCTACTAGGATGCACGAAAACGTCAAATAATTGCAAGTTTCCGCTTCCGAATCCTCCCGAAAACGAGAATCGTCCAGAAACGTGCGGAAACGTTCGGGAAACGTCAACCCGCGTCTCGGCCCATTTTTGGATCGGGTGTAAATCCGGAAACGCCACATCAGTTCATAGAAACGTTTCCGGGCCAGAATTAAAAAAAAAAAACACAGCGGCCCAACCGGGTTAATCGTCCGCAAGGGAACCCGCCAGCTCCAGATCCGGAAAGATCCAGCTACGTCGATTGCAGCTCCAGCCAGCTTCGCCCTTCGTCCTTCTGCCTTCGCCCTTCGCCCTTCGCCGATTGCAGCCGCCCTTTGCCCTTCACTGATTGCAGCCGCCCTTTGCCCTTCACTAATTGCAGCCGCCCTTCGCCCTTGAGGTAATCAGCTGAACCGGTATTAACTATTAAGCTGTGCGAGTGTGTGGGGCTGTGTGTACTCCCTAGTATATATGAGTTACTTTTCTTTTCTTTTTTTGCTTTTGTTTTGTTCAGTCAATAAAATAGTTTATATAAATAAATAAATTTGTTAAAAAGTATAAAGTTTAGTGAATAAAGTGATTTTTATTTTTCTTTTATCAGTACATTACTTTACCAATAAAGTGTAATTGTAAAAAAAATTATTTTATCTTCATTTTTAGATAAGCTCTATGGATGTATCTGGTTCTTCTAGTGGACCTAGCGGTAGCGGGAGTGTAACTGGGAGCACAAATTCTTCATCGGGTGTTGATGATGCACCTTTATGGAAATATGTTACTAAACTAGGTAAAAGTGCTGATACGGGGGTACTTAGAGGTTTTAGTGTAACTTTTGTAATGAAGTTCAACGATGATCTTATTCGAGAGTAAGGGCACACTTGCTTCAAATTTCAAAACAAGGAATTGCCGTATGTAAAAAGGTTCAATCCAATGATCTACGTGAGATGAAAAAATTGGAAGAGGAAATTGAGAATAAAAGAAAGGGAGAACTATCAAATAAGCCATCGAACTTTCATAAAAAGTGCAAATAAGCCCTTTTATAGGAGGCTGTGTCCGGCCGTCGCCATTTGGGGCGGTATCCGGTAGAATTTTTTGATGAATTTTTTTGACCATATTCTTCATTAAGTCTAGTTTACTCATACCAAATTTCAGCCAAACATTCAATCGAGAAGGCAGACAAATGAATTTTTGAAGATAACTGCGCAGTAAGGCAGCGTAGTATATTTCAGAAAATCATTTGACTTCCTTCTCGATTGAATTTTTAGCTGAAATTTGGTATGGATAAACTAGACTTAATGAAGAAGATGTTCAAAAAATTTGATCAAAAAATTCCACCAAAAACCTCCTCAAATGGCGACAGCCGGACAAAGCTTCTTGTAAAAGGGCTTATTTGCACTTTTTATAAAAGTTTGAAGGCTTATTTGATAAGTCGCTCTAAAAGAAAAGATGTTGCCCCTGACGATATTCCTTTACCTTCCGGAAGAACACAAATGGATTGGACGAGTAACATTAGTTTTTCTAATAAAAGAAAATCTAGCATGGGCCGTTTGGAGAAAGCTTTTGATGTAGATGGTAGAGCCAAATTAGATGAACAAATTGCTAGAATATTTTTCATAGGTGGGTAAGTGGGTTGCCATTTAATCTTATTCGAAATCCATATTATGTGAGAGCTTTTTCTTTTGTCAAGTTACGTGCCACCCGGTTATAATAAATTGAGGACCACTTTGTTACAACAAGACAAGGCTAATGTTGAGAGGTTATTACAACCACTCAAAGCTACTTGGCGGGAAAGAGGCGTGACAATTGTGAGCGATGGTTGGAGTGATCCTCAGAGGAGACCTATAATTAATTTTATGGCAACTTCCGGAAGCGATCCTATGTTTCTTAAAGCTGTTAATTGCATGAGTGAAGTGAAATCGAAAGAATTTATTGCAAATTTAATGAAAGAAGTTATTGATGCGATAGGCCATCAAAATGTGTTTCAGGTTATCACCGACAATGCTTCAAATTGCAAGGGAGCGGGATAAATCATTAAAGGTATGTATCCAAACATTTATTGGACACCATGTGTTATGCATACCTTAAATCTTGTTTTAAAAAAAATTTGTGCTGCAAAAAATGTGGACAATAACATAAAAGTATATGATGAATATAATTGGATCACCGAAATTCATGGTGATGCTGTTCACATAAAGAATTTCATCATGAAATCATACGACGAGGTTGTCCATGTTTAATGAATTCGTGTCCCTCAAATTACTTTCTGTTGTGGACATCCGATTTGCTTTTATTATTGTGATGCTTAAGAGATTTAAGCTTATTAGACGTGGTCTTGAAGCTATGGTGTTGAGTGATGAGTGGGCTTCCTATCGTGAGGATGATCAAGGTAAAGCAAGATTTGTGAGAGACAAAGTTTTGAGTGAGTATTGGTGGGATCAATTAAATTACATTCTTGCTTTCTCAGATCCTATTTATAGTATGATTCGAGCATGTGATACAGATAAGTGATGCCTTCATTTGGTGTATGAGATGTGGGATTCAATGATTGAAAAAAGTCAAAATCCAAATCTATAAGCATGAAGAAAAATCTCTTGATTCATATAGTGTGATCTTCAACGTAGTATATGATATTCTTGTGGCACGTTGGGGAAAGAGTTCAACATCACTTTATTGTTTAGCTCATTCATTAAATCTAAGGTATTACATAAATTCTTCTAATTATTTATTTCAATTATTTTATTTAATTTTTATACTTTAAAATGTATTTTTGTGTTATTAGATTTTGTAGTGAAGTTTGGCTTGATGAGAATCCCGCCCGAGTCCCTCCTCATAGAGATGGTGAAATCTCTCAAGAGAGGATGAAGTGTTTTCGAAGGCTCTATCCAAACGCTGAAGATTATGACAAGATTTTGGATGAATTTGCTTCCTTTTCACTTAAGATAGGGGCTTTTGCAGATATTACATCTCTTTCAAAGATGGGAAACACGAATCCAAAAAATTGGTGGGCAAACTTTGGTGTTCAAACATCAATCCTTCAATCACTTGCTTTTAGGGTGCTTGGTCAACCTACTTCTTCATCTTCTTGTGAACGTAATTGGAGCACGTACTCATTTATTCATTCACTTAGAAGGAATAAATTAACTCCTAAACGTGCAGAGGATTTGGTATTTGTGCACAACAACCTTCGCCTCTTGTCAAAGAGTTCTGACCAATATACAAATGAGAAGACTAAGATGTGGGACGTTGGGGGAGATGAATTTGGCAATCTTAAAGAAATGGGATATCTAGAATTTGTTACTTTGTCATTAGATGAGCCTGAACTGGAGAGTGTGTTTATTACCGAATGAATTATTTAGTGGTGTCCTTTTTATTAATTATTCATGCAATGGATTACAAACAATGTTGATGTTTGGTTTATTCATTTCCTAATTAATGCATGTAAACGTGACCTATTTTAATAGTCATCTAGTTTTATTACTAATACTTCAGTTTTTATTGCGATGTTTCCTTGTTGTACCCGTACCCTTAATTTTTGAGATTAAGGTTTCCCCGTTTCTGTCCCCATTTCCGTTTCCGTTTCCATACCGGTGCTACTTAGGTACCCTAGCCCCCACCACAAAAAAGCTATGGCTTTTGGGTTTAATACCAGGTTTAAAAATATAGGAGTGGGACAACCCTAACCGAAAACTAACCCTGACCCGACCAAATTTATCGGACTTCTTTAGATACAAAAACAATATAACCCAACATATATCAGGCTTATTCTGGTCCCAACAAAGCCTGACCCAGTCCGGCCATATCCCACATTTCCACCCCTTGTTAGATGCTCGTTTAATTGGTCTGGGATGCAAGTCAACCGTCTGATCGTCAAGGTCCGCGATGTGTGGGCCAGATTTGTATATTCCATCACCAAGTATACGTGCACTATTGCTTTTTTGAAATTTTATTTAGCCTCAAACAGTTTTTTTCACTACACAAAGCATGCTAAGGTACTAATCTTTGATCTCAAATGTTACAAAATATTTGACTATATAACATTAAAAACCTAAATTGATGAGTAAGCAGTGAACTTACATCTCCATGTTGGCCTGTTGATGTGGCAATTTGGCTCATGTTATAGTTCCACTCACACTTTCTCCTGTGCATTGATTCAAATTCACCGCATCTAGAGAGAATGACCCACAACTCAGAGATAACAAACATACGAATCAACTTCAAAGAAATGGGGGAAAAGGACATGAAAAAGTGATTTCTATGCAAGCTATCTATCAACCACAAATACTTTCTATATTTCAGTTTTTCCATGCCATGCCAGACATTGGCTAAATTTAATAAAAATCCTATATCTTATATTAAGTATCCTATAATTTTAATAATACGGTATAGATATTATACAAATTCACATGGATGGGTCCACATATGTCATACCAAAAAGTAAGGACCCTAACCTGATAGTCATAAGTAAACGCCAATTCAGTGTAAAATCCACGGTGTTCTGTACTTCTGTTCGTCTTGTCAACAGAATCAGACATTCATAATATCATTTGAGTCAACATGAAACCCATTTCTAACAGTAAATTCAAAAAAGTTGTCATTCACTTCAATGGAGCTACAGCCGGGAGTTTTATCTAACCCTCTCTTGGTCATCATCTTCCTCACTTCCCTAGCTTTATGCCACATATTTAATCCTATGTACATGTTCGCAAGCTGAACATAAATCCCACTATCATTTGGATCCAACTGAAGAAGTCTAAAGGCTGCCTTTTCGCCCAACTCAACATTCCTGTGGATTTGACAACCACAGAATAGGGCTCCCCAAACAGAAGCATCTGCATTGATTGGCATACTCATTATCAATGTCTCTGCCTCTTCTAGAAAACCGGATCTACCAAGAAGGTCAACCATGCAGGAATAATGTTTTGATTTCGGGGAAATGTTAAATCTTGAGGTCATTTCAGCAAAAACCTTACGGCCCTCATCAACTAAACCTCCATGCCTACAGGCCAAGAGGACCCCAAGAAATGTGATATCATCCGGTTCAAGACCGGCATCATCAACCATCATTCTGAAATGTGATAAGGCCTTGTGTGGATCTCCATGAAGTGCTAGGGAACCTATAACAGCTGTCCAAGTCATAGCATTTTTCATCGGCATCTCATGGAAAACCTGAATTGACTTCTCAAAATTGCCACACTTAGCATACATGTCAATTAGAGCAGTCCCAAGAGAGACATTAAGAGAGAGATTGTGGAGTTTGATGTAATGATGAATCCAACATCCCATTTCATAAGCTCCTACTTGTGAGCAAGCAGATAGACAACAAACCAAGGTCACCTCGTCAGGCTTGACATTCATTGCTTGCATGTCTTGAAATAAAACCAAAGCCTCTTTTCCACAATAGGCTTGCACGTATCCTCCAATCATAGCATTCCAAGTGACAACATTGCTCTTGTGTGGAAACTCATCAAACAACGTTCTTGCATTGTTTAAAAAACCAAACTTTGCATACCCAGTTATCATAGTTGTCCAAGTGACATCAGTCCTTCCCCTCATGCTACCAAACAAAGCCTTTGCTTTCTCAAGATCCCCACATTTCACATACATGTCCATAAGTGAATTACATAGAGGTAAAGATAAATTTATTTCCTTTTCTACAACATATCTATGAAAATTCACAGCAAGGTCTAAATCTTTGAGCTGCCCGCATGCTAAAGCTATTCCAATCATAGTGATCTCGTCCGGCTCAACTTTCTCAATTCTCATTTCCCTAAAAACGCTCAGTGCCTCACGAGGTTTTGCACTCTTTACATACCCGTTAATCAACGAATTCCACAAAACCACATCTCTCTCACAAATTTCACCAAACACCTTCTCTGCAACTTCAAACTTTCCAGAACACACCAAGAAGTGAACCAAAGCATTGTGCACAAACCTATCTTGATAATGACCCATTTTTGTAACATGCCCAAGAATCTCAAAACCCATGTAGGACAATGACATTCTGCCACAAACCTTAAACAACAATGGAAAAGTATAATTGTCTGGCCTTAAAGCATCGTCAGAATCATTTTCATTGTTGACGCACACTAACATGTCTTTATACAAAAATAAAGCTTCAATTGGGGTTTGGCTTTCACTAAAACCTCTGATAGCAACATTCCAAGAAAATGAATTTGAGTTTAGGATATGATACAGCAATGCTTTGCAGTAATGAAGACTTCCCATTTCTGAGATAGCACAAAAGGCAATCAAGCGACTAGATGCCAATCCATTTGAAAATAGGCCAGTGGTGACCATTTGGGCCTGAATTTGCTTGAGATGGGCCATGCATTTGCATTGGTTTTCAAGAAAAGAAAGGAGGGGGTTAGAGAGGATGAAGGAATGGGTAGTGCTCCAATTACGTTGAGGTTTATGGCGAGTTATCAAATGAGAGAAGCAGTGGAATAAGGATAAAGAACAAGGAGAAGAAGATCTTAATAAAAGAAAGGGTTTCAGAGTATAGAGTTGTTGGAGTGATTTGAGGTTCCAATGATGTAAAGAGCGGCCATGGCAATTACACATTCCCAAAAGTTACTGACTAATACCTGCAACAGAGAATCAAAGATTAGGCGACCCCAACTATTCCACAGTGTTGGATGGAGTTAAGGTACCTATAGATATATCTACTTATTACTCTAATAAATAATTGTACTACATACATATATTCAGAGTGTCCACGAGTATGTTACAAACACATCTAAGCATTATTATTAATTTTTATCACATATGTTCTTATGATTAGTACGTTTTGATTTAGTATAAATCCTAATCATGAGGGTATCAAATAGAACTTTGGACTGAGCTTGCAAGAAGGGAAAGGGAAGCAGTCATTTTTCCTGAGGCAGAAGATGATCTTTTCATGAAGGTAATTATTTTTCCTGAGGCAGAAGATGATCTTTTCATGAAGGTAATTATTTTTTCTGAGGCAGAATATGATCTTTTCATTTTATTTTATTTTTGCAATCACTCAACTATTTATAATATCAATTAAAAACAGGTGATAATAGAAAAGATCATTTGGTTGTTATGTGGATATTGGATAAGAATACACAATGTACAAAAAAAAAAAAAACTACTGGATTAAAGAGACTGTTAACCAATCCATGTGCAACTATCAATTAAGTGTTTTATTTTTAGGTGATGAACTGACAAAGTGTCTCACAGGTTCTCATGTGAAATTATGTCATATTATACATATATGTAAAAACAAATATATGTAATTACAAAACATATTGTATATATCAAGGTATATAAGTTAACTAAAAAATAATTCCAACCTCCTATATTCAAGTTTTGTGTAAGAGTAGTTTGATTAGTTTGTAGGAACAATTTGATTCTATTAATCTATTTATGTTGTATTTTTGGGTTTCATCTCTTCTACGGTTTGTGTCATGTTAGAACTTTTTTAATCTACTTTATTACAAAACACTAATATTTCGTGTAATTTGTCAACTACTTGCCAAGAATGAGTAAAAAACAACTTATATATGACAAATAATGTAAAGAGACCTGGCTATTTTTATAAAGTACTGTGGTAGAATGCTTTTCTTTGTTATATTTTTATATATTATTATTCGTAACAAATGGACTTGGCTGTGCAATCAGCCATCAGAGAGGAAAAGGTAACCATGTGAAGGAGAAAATCTGATAATGAGAAGATGCAGTAGAATGGGGGCCTGAAGTTTCTGATGGGAGATTATAAATGGAGGGTGTGAGATGGCAGGGGTGTTAGTGGGTATATCATATATGAAATTAAACTTGGACACTTTTTAGCAAAAAAAAAAGGATGACACCCCATCCATGAGGGCCCCCCAACACCGATCGGACGGTACATTGGGAGTGCATTTTTTAGTATAGTAACCTTTCATCGCAGTTGCCGGGATTCGAACCTGGGACCTAACCCTTGTGGCACTCCCTTGCTACCAGTTGAGCTACGCCCACCGGTTTGGACACTTTTTAGCATCTATACGCGTTGGTGTTGTTGTCATCTAGTCATGAAAAATTTACTATTTTTCAGCTGCTCATTTCTTGGTATAAATTAGAACAGAGAAGGTAATGGGCCAATCTATGAAGCACGGAAACTCTACGCAACTCACGTTTCCCCGTTTCGGAAACTCGAAAGCGTGTCGGAAACTTGGAAACTTCAAATTCCCGTTTCGGGGCCGTTTCCGTAATTAAGAAGAATTGGGAAACCCGTTTCTCTAAATAATTAGGGTTTCAGAAACCGTGAATTTTCAATTTTTTTCTTTTTTAAGATGTCCTATGATGGAAAATAGTGTCTTAAAAAACAGTGATTTTTTGTGTTATATCTTCGTAGCAGCATTGTGGCATTTCATAACGCAATTGCTACGAATGAATTGCATTCTATGTTTAATTATGTAATAATATGTAATAATTTCTAAATTTGAACATGTAGAATGCTTTTATTATTGACCTATTAAGCAAGTTATATGAAAATGTCATGTGCATATATATCAATGAAAAAATCTGTATACATATGAAAAAATATTTACAAATATATCCTTATATTTTTTAATATTTACGCATTTTCCCCACGTTTCGTATCCTATTTTTTCTAGAAATCACGTTTCTCGCGTTTCCCGTTTCCCGTTTCCGTGCTACTTAGGGGCCAATAACAAAGTATAAGAATAGGAAATTTTTAGAAAGTGGAGCAAAGAATAAAAAACTGTCCAAATATATATACAAAAAATGGAGGTAGTATTGTTTGCTTTGTTCTCATAAACAATGATTTGGTAACACTGGAATTGGAAGAATCTGCTCAAATAACTAAAATTAAGGTGAATGGCAAAATCTGTTAAATCATAGAGAAATAATTAAATATACTTTATAATAATAGCAAAAGTTTAAAAAAAGAGGGTTATATGGCCATCTTCATCCAGTTAGGTCAATTTGTTGTAAAAGCACCTCTAACCTTGCCTTTTATCATTATAAAGAAATTAAGCACATAAAATCAAAATATTAATGTGTGATAAAATTTCTGGCTGATAAGCGTAACATGGTTACCAAACGGACATCGAAAATGAAAATAATAAACACCAGTAAATGGTGCAATTTTTCAGAGACAACATTATACAATAGAGCCTCCCCACAGTCTCACAGTTATGGCAATAGTGGAATTTCTTTTGAACCAGGTGCTGTAATAGTGACAAAATGGCAAGGGATTTGTTCATTATTATCAAAGTTGATTAAGTACTTGACATCAAATGTTAAGAAAAACACTTTCCAGACTACAAAATGTCATTAAAGATCAAATATAATCATAGTATAATACCTAAGTTCCCTATGAGCATCAACAGCAACAACATCCAAGCCTTAATCCCAAAAGAGTTTAACATTCCCCATGAACATGTTTCAATATATTTGCAGCCCTGAAGGCATTCCTGCATCTTGTATTATACTCTCAAGGGTAGTTAAATAATCTTCATTAGTGGGCTATCACATCTTCCTGTTCAAAAAATTGGTTAATCACAATTAACAATTAAATCAATAGCAGCTAAATTTTAGTTGCAGCTAGAGAATCCATACATATACCCTCCCCGCTCACTCTGACAAACTGAAGTAACATCAAGAAGTAGGGCACATCAGTAATGGGCTTTACTGACCTTGCTTTTCCAGATTACCACAAGGGCGCAAGGTAAATTTCTCAAAGTAACCTTCCATAACCCTGGATAGGATGGTATAGTATTAGCGAAAGCTGGAATGAACTGTGATAGAGGCTCTAAAGTAATCATATAGTTCCTTTACTTGTGGGATTTGTAAGTGGTTAACAGCAACTACTTTCTCTTTGTATTGGTTACCTGGAATTCCTAACACAAGTTTATAACTTATACTGAGCACTATTTAAGGTTCAACAATCAAAGAATCACATAGATTACCAAATGGAATTCAAGATTCATCAATTACAGATACTAGACTAATGTACCTTCTAAAATTAAGCCTCAATGATCTCAGAATAACATAGATTATATAGCAAGTTTCAGTTTTTGTATACTTAAAATCACGAGCAATTCCAGCCAATTCCAAAACCTGAAATGATCAAAATCAATCATTGAATTTTCACGAATAGAAGTATGTGAAAATTGTAATGCAAACTGTTTAATTTATACTCTCACACGTATTACCTCAACTAATATCCTGAGGGATGCTATCAGCTAGCCTCAACTTTTGAACACCTGAATATCATGATCCGCTTTCCTTTTTCTAAACGGGGTGAGCAGAGTAGGGTTACTCCATACATCCAATTAAACTAAAGCTGGTGATAAACAATGTAGGGAGCAATAGGTAAGTAGCTTAGGTAAGGGGGAGAAACCCAATTTATGAAATTGTAGCTGATGTGACTATATTAGCTAATTTTGTTGATTTATGAAAAAAATATTTAAAATACTTGTTATTAATAAAATAAATAAAAAATATATGAAAAATTAGCTAAAGGGATACTCTACGATAACTTCAGACAATAAAAAGTAACTTCAACCTTATTTTTCTTATTATTACGCAATTCAATGCGCGTTATCAAAAGTTACGCGTTTGATGAAATACTGACTGATAAGCCTGATAAGCAAAAAAATGAGGCTACCAAACAGGCTCTTAAATGTGGGATATTAACTCCCGCATGACATCGAATCTAATCACCAAACCAGATCAGACTTTCATAATTATAAAATACGGAATACATAGAAACCAGACATTTATCAAAGCAGACCAATTCAAACAAGATCAGATCAAACCAGATCAGACCAGATCAGAACAACAAATTTCAATCCAAAAGAAAGTATCTTTAAAGTCTTAAAGTTTAGAACCATTTTGTAAAAAAAAAATCTCCATGTACACAGTTTACCATTTAGACATTTTTACACAAGCGATGTGTAAAAGTGTGTTAATAGTAAAAGTGTGTACAAAGGCTTTTCTGAAGAAAAAATTGACATCCCATCCACGAAGGAGGGTTCAACACTTATAAGACATTCAATTAATGATTTGGGAGAATGTAAATTGAAATTTAATTAACAGACTGACAGATAGCAAGCGAGCTCTAGTCTAAGTACTTTCAGATGCAGTAGTTATAACATGATGCAATTCGCGTGTAAAAAATGTACCTCACGTTGATAAGAAATATAATTGCAAACCAGTCAAAATGTAATTTGTCCAATAAACAAAAAAAAGAGTCTTTTGTAAACAAAAAGAGTGTACGAAATAAAATATTGATTTCAATGTAAACAAAAAAAAGTCTAATCGCTCAATTACTTTACGTAAATAGTGAATATTTTTTGTTTTTGATATCAGCACTGTAAAATGGTTTTTAATTTTTTTTTAAATAATAGGGGTTTATTTTTTTTATTTAACTCGTGTTATGGCAGATGTAACTCGCGCAAATTGAAAAATGTAGTCTAATTACGTGTATGTAAAATGTATCTTGTTCGGACAAGTCCTAATGTAACTTGCGCATAAAGAAATGTAACTCGCGCATTAAAAGATGTAACTCGCATATTAAAAGACGTAAGTTGTGCATAAGAAGATGCAACTCGCACACATGAAATGTAAATCGCACATAAGAAAATGTAACTCACACACGTGAAGATGCATGTAAATCACGTATAAGAAGATGCAACTCCACATATTATCAAATTTAACTTCAAGAATTAAAATAAACAAATTCAATGTCTTAAGAAACCTCTAAAAACATATAAAAGAGAGAAAACATATATTATAGAAAAATGTGTATGAATATAAAAAAATATTACAACAAAACTGTATAATATAAAATTATTACAGAAATAAAAGTAGTTTATGAATATGAAATGAAATATATTTTTTTATTTAGATTAATAAACTTTTTGTGGTGAATGGATAAGGAATAAAATAATAGATTGAGTTGTAATTTAAATTGAAGATAAATAAACGTAAAATTGCAATTACATTTTCAGCACTTTGATGGAGAAATAGAAGATATTTGAAGAAAAGAAAAACAAAGAAGAAAAATCCAAGGAAAATGAAAAAGTGATGCACCGTAGGAAAATACTTATTTCATGGTATTTTATAACAAGTAGTGTAATCCGTACACCGTGCGCAGGTGTAACGATTCACGGTATAGTTTGTCTTGCATAGGTTAAATGCATTTTTAAATAGTAATCTCTCATCGCAATGTCAAGAGCTCAGGATTCCATAACACTTTTTTTGTACTCTTTATCTACTAGTTGAGCTAAGTCCACCGATATTAAAACTATTTTGTAGAAGAATTCTTTTTCCCCTCATTAGATGTAGTGTCCTCTATGTAAAGATACATAGTATGGAGTATGTATTAGGATTTAGGATCCTACATAAACTACTAGTTTATAGAATATCTATTAGGATTCTTTTAGAAAATTAGAATGAGTTTGATGGATAGTGTACCCGGGGGTAGCTTATCCAAGGGGTTATTGCGGAGAATAACTAGAAAGAAGTCAGAGCAAATAAGTAAGAGAGAGTGTGTATATTCGATATGTATTAAGCGTGGTTTACAATGGAGGAAAGGGGTGCTATTTATAGTAGTAATAAATGCCAGATAAGGACACGTGTCAGTTTTCTGGTGGTCGAGGGGTCACCTCAACCGGGGTGGCACTGGCACTCGCATGTGGCCGCATTAAATGCGGTGGTTGGATGTGACGTTTGTACTTGGTACGGTGATCCAGGCGCATGTGAAGAGGATATTCTGTCGAGGTGGATGCCTTCGGTTGAAGGGTGCTGGGCCGAAGGCTCTTCTAATCGAGGGCTCCTACCTGCCGAGGGTTGTAGGTGCTGAAGGCTTGGTTTTCAAGCCTTGTTCTTCTGTGATGCCTCTTCTAACTGAGGGCTCCTACCTGCCGAGGGCTGCAGGTGCCGAAGGCTTGGTTTTCAAGCCTTGATCTCCTGTGATGCCTCTTCTAACCGAGGGCTCCTACCTGCCGGGGGCTGCAGTTGCCGAAGGCTTGGTTTTCAAGCCTTGATCTCCTGTGATGTTTCTGAGCTCGATTCCGTCACTGGTAGCCTTCGGCCATGGGGCCGAAGGCACCCCTTTGCGTATTGTGGGCTGCTTAGAGCTCCATTTTTCTGGGCTTGGCCCGTTTGGGCCTGTTGGGCCTGATTGTAGTAGAGGAAGTATGTGGGTCGGGGGTCCCTGGTCCATATACTCCATCAAGAGCCCCCCACTCCTTTTGCCGAAAGGTACTTGAGGGAAAAGGAGTAGCTGTGGTGATTTCCCCGAAGGCTTCCCTGTTCTGTTGGGTGCCTCATTTTCTCAATTCCCCCATATGTCGAGGGCTGAGAGCTTCCTGAAGGGAGTGTAAGTGTGTTGCTCGTATGTGTTTCTTTGTTGTAGTTTGTAAAGTAATGAGAGATCTGCATTTGTGTGCTTTGCCGAGGGCATTTGTTGACTGAAGGCTTTGTGTGGCCGAAGGCATCATGTGGCCGAAGGCATCATGTGGCCGAAGGCATTGTGTGGCCGGAGGCATCATGTGGCCGAAGGCATTGTGTGGCCGGAGGCATTCTGTAAGCCGAAAGCATCATGTCGAGGGGAGTAGATTGCCGTTGTGATCTTGCCTCAGCTTGTTGTAGCTGAGAAATAGAAAATTTCTAACATTTGCGTGTTTTGCCAAGGGGAGTCCCCCAGTCCCCCACTCCTTTTGCCGAGAGTTTCTCGAGGGAAACAGGAGTAGAGTGATGCATGCCTTCAGCAGGAGCCGCCGAGGGGTGACGCCTTTTGTTCCACAATGAGGAGATGCCTCGTTAAAAACCTCATTAGGAAAAAACCCTGTGGGAAAAAAAATCCTAATGAGGGAAAAAGAGTACACCGGATGCCCCCAGAATGAAGCAAAAGGAAAGCACCCTTCGGCCTAGATTTTTGAGCGGTGGTTGTGTCCGTCTGCTGAGGGGATATCGAAGACCAGCCTTAGATCCTGCATGAAAAAGATGAGGATCTTGTAAGGACCCCCCGTTATCAAATAAAGGTGACGGAGGGGTGCAAGGCCAGGTGGGCCTGTGTGAGAGCCCCTGGCATCAAATACAGATGTCGGAGTGATGGAGACCGAGGGGCCTGTGTGATTAGCCCCGGCATCAAATAAATATGCCGGAGGGGTGAAGGCTGATGGCCTGTATGATAGCCCCTGGCATCAAATAAAGATGTTGAAGGGATGAAAGCTAGGCTGAGGGGCCTGTATGACAGCCCCTGGCATCAAATAAAGATGCCAGAGGGATGAAGGCCGAGGGACCTGTGTGATTGCCCTCGACATCAAATAAAGATGTCGGAGGGATGAAGGCCGATGGGCCTGTATGATAGCCTCTAGCATCAAATAAAGATGCTAGAGGGATGAAGGCCGAGGTACCTGTGTGATTGCCCCCGACATCAAATAAAGATGCCGGAGGGATGAAGACCGATGGGCCTGTATGATAGCCCCCGGCATCAAATAAAGATGCCGGAGGGATGAAGGCCGAGGGACCTGTGTGATTGCCCCCGACATCAAATAAAGATGCCGGAGGGATGAAGGACGATGGGCCTGTATGATAGCCCCCGACATCAAATAAAGATGTCGGAGGGATGAAGGCCGAGGGCCGTTGTGATGTGGAATCATGCTGAGGCCGAGGGCCGTTGGTGATGTGAGATCACGCTAAGGCCAAAACCATTATGACATAGGGTCATGTTCAGGCCGAGGGCCGTTCTGATGCTGAGGTCGAGGGCCGTTGTTGATGTTGAGGTCGAGGGCCGTCTGATGTTGAGGCCGAGGGCCGTTGGTGATGTTGAGGCCGAGGGCCGTCCTTATGTTGAGGCCGAGGGCCGTTGTTGATTTTGAGACCGAGGGCTGTTCTGATGTTGAGGCCGAGAGCCGTTGTGATGTGGAATCACGCTGAAGCCGAGGACCGTTGGTGATGTGAGATCACGTTAAGGCCAAAACCGTTATGACACAGAGTCATGTTGAGGCTGAGGGCCGTCTGATGTTGAGGCCGAGGGCCATTGTGATGTCCTCACGCTGAGGCCGAGGGCCGTTGTTGATGTTAAGGCCGAGGGCCGTTGTTGATTTTGAGACCGAGGGCCATTCTGATGTTGAGGCCGAGGGCCGTTGGTGATGTTGAGGCCGAGGGCCGTCCTTATGTTGAGGCCGAGGGCCGTTGTTGATTTTGAGACCGAGGGCTGTTCTGATGTTGAGGCCGAGGGCCGTTGTGATGTGGAATCACGCTGAGGCCGAGGGCCGTTGGTGATGTGAGCTCACGTTAAGGCCAAAACCGTTATGACACAGAGTCATGTTGAGGCTGAGGGCCGTCTGATGTTG